TTTGCTATGCTACACTTTTGAGCTACCTATCAACTCTGTGATTAATATCACTGACTGTAAAAATTATGGACACCTCTGTTATGCCACTAACTGGTGTGTGGACTGCCATTTTGAAGCCTTGAGTTCGGCGTGACAGCCGCCGCTATCTTGGTTTTTTGGAGCCAGAAGTGACCATATTTGTAGAGGCTGGCACTGTGGAGGAGTGAGGGCAGACAGCCTGTCACTCAAAGCAGCCTGCCCTTAATTATGTGTAACTTAAAACAATGTAAGTGGGTGAAAATTCAACCACCATACAGTTGTCATGAAGGGGGAAATTAGATACAGAAACCAAAAGTTTTGGGTTTTTTTTACATTAGGCTGAAAACATGTTTATTTCTTGGCTGTGGGGATTGACTGACTTCTGGAGAGAGCCTCAAGTGGTCATTTAAACAACTACAGTTTTTGGCACATCCGTGATGGCTTAAATTTTCAGCCCCAAAGGTTGCCACTTGATTAAAACAGATCTGGGAGGTGTACCCTAGTCTGTTAATTAGCTTAACACAGTTGCTTTTAAACCACGTGCAGCATGCATAGAAATGAATTCCAACTTTTGAGAACATGCTGGAGTGGCTCTGACAATAGTCAGTTACTGTCTGTGCTGCTGTTTGCAACATGAACCATAGTGCAGGGCATTCGAGAAAATTTGATTGGCACAGGATCAGCTATATCTGAGACCAACCAGCTGGTCTCTGTAATAAACATAAAGAGCAATTATCACCTTTCATGACAGTAAGATTCGTGGCAGAGTTGTTTTTATTTATTTACCTTAGATTGTAAAGGTGTACCTAATAAAGTGGCCAGTGCATTGGTTTTGTACACAGTGGTGTCCCACTGTCATCCACCATCACATGCTTCTGCTGCATTAAAAAACAAAACAAGAAATACAGACAAAATAAAAACAGCTGCAGATAACACCATAACAATACAGTGCTTTTCTGTTTATGTAAACTTATTGCGCCCTCACAGCAATTTGGGTCTCCAAGAGCAGCAGTTAATGGCAACACAAACTCATTTACATGTTCTTTATGTAACCTCTTGGATACATTTAAACCCGCAATTATATGTTGTCAAGCACTATATGATTGCACTCTGATCACCTGAGATTCATGTAATGCCGGCTGAATAGACTCCCAGAGTCCTGCTAGTTGTTAATGCTGACCATCCAGTCAGGGACTGGCTTACACCAGGGACATCAGATAAATGGCTTTAACTAGCAGATAGGACTGCTGCAGGCCCTGAGGAACAGAACTGAGAACCACTCAAGTATTTTACTCTGCACCCCACTTAAAGTGAAAACTTACACTAATGGGTTTTCTCTGACCTTTAGCTGGTGATCATCACATCAAGTAGATACTTGTTAATCTCCCAAAGGCTTGTGTCAGATTGATAAATTAGGAGACTGAAAACATGTTTTCTATTAGCTGCAAAAGGGAAAATACTCTATAGTGTATGTAACAAAGTCAGAGAAGTACATTGGGAAATATTGCACTACTTATCTTTTTCATTTATGTGGATGTTGAATATGTCTGCACTTCTTTAATGATTCAATGTTGCCATGTAACCGTCATTGCAATGTAAGGAATATCTGCCATGAGATTGCAACTCATATAAAAGCATAGCATCTCTTGTTTTGGTGTTGTTGTAAGGTTGTGTCACTGAATATGTCCCATCCTTTTGATTAAATGTTTGTGCTTTCACTAGGAGAACTCGCAGACAAGCAACAGTGTCTTTCTCTCTGTAGTTCTGTTAGCAAGTCTCTTTCCCAGTTATTCAGTCTTATACCACTTAAACTCCCGTCTTCTTCCTCTATCTCTCTCTTCACATCTTGCCTGGAGGCAGGTATTAATTGAAGGACCCTTGTTATAATAGGTTCTAATTGTTAATCACACAGCCTTGTTAGAGAGCAGTCTGATTGTAATTACAGATGCTCGTTAACCAGTTCTGTCATTAATTAGACATTGTGACCTTGGTAATTACTGCAGCCATACATGTATTTGCCAGTGATTTTCTTGTGGAAATTTTCCTGTTGAAACCTCCAAAGACAGCCTTTTAGGGAAATAATTAAATAAATAGCATATGAAGTGTTTTGAGAGTTTCTTGTTTTGGTTAAACCACAAAGTAATTACTTAATGAGACTCTAAGAAACTTGCCTTCTAACATGTGGTTAAAGCAATCATCCTAATGAACAGTTTTAGACATTCCTGAAAAGTATTAACCTCATAGTTGTATTTTACTTTTCACAAGAATGAATACTGGATGAATTATGGATTATAAATTAGTTCAGGACCGGTGGCAGGAGGTGGTTATGCTTGAGTTGAGAGATGTAAAATTGAACAAAAAAAAAAAGCATGTCACAGGCTCCATTAATCAGGTTAATGAGCATAATAAAGCTTTGTCAGGCCACTGTGCACACAGTACACTGGTATGAGAGGCACAGCCATTGTGGTCTACAAAACACTGGTGTATATGGAATATACAACGACACTGCAATGATATATTCCATGTCATTTGCCTCACTATACTCTTTTTTCCATCTGTGTTGACTGTCTGCTGAACATGATTACAAAAGTCTGTATGCTGGGGAGACAGTGAAAACTAAAGTGGAAGCGAACTTTGCCTTGTCACACGTTAAACAAACACATGAAAACCTAAGGGTATTTCAGTATTTCAGGTTTTTGCCAAACCTAACTTATGGGGTTTTTCCATAGTAAGGGAGGTAGTGGGGTCAAACCATGGCCATGAAATGTCAAGTCCTGCTGGTGTGAGTGTTTTTCATTGCACACCAAAGAAAAGTTGTTTATCTAAATGAAGTGTGCTGGTCACAAACAACAGAGCCTGTCGCTCGCAGCCCTTTCAGCTCACTGTGGCTGTTTCTGTTTGTACTTTTCCTCCCAGCAATATTCAAAACTGATATGCCATCCAAACAGCACAGACTAAGCTGGCTGTCGACTAAGCCAGTTTTTATGCAAAGAAAAAACACTAATGAGGCTCCTCTACTTTGGTGACAAACACATTTCCTATTTCACACTAAAAGCCATCCTGCTGGTTTGCCAGTGGAAAGCTTTTAATGTGAAGCAGCAATAGCAGGAAAGAAGAAGCTAAAAAAGATTTAAATATTTCAACAGAGCTTCCTCTTAGGTCTCCAGCACAAACACACATGAGCCACATTAACAGCCACAGAGTCTCAGTAACTCTTTGTTTTGGAAGTCGGAGTTTCAAAAAACCCGGGATCTGGGAACAGATCTGAGAACAGATTCTGTTAAAGAAAAACAAGAATCACAGTTTGGGTTTTATTTTCATTGCTCTGGCCATTGGTTGTATTGGCTATGATAAGACCGTACTCACCAAAATAACTGTTGAGATCTGGCAACCATTATGGCTTACTAGGGATTTCAGGAATAGTCCTCACCAACACCACCAGTTAACACTGTGCATCAGGGTAGACTAATCATTTATCGGTGGTGCAGTCATGAAGCAGTGACAATGCATCTACAGCAGATGTGCAGCTGGGAGCACTGCTGACAAGTCATAAGCCCTTTTAACACACAGATCCCACAATACTGCCAAGATGAAGACCCACTATTATGCTGCCTTTACCTTTTTTTTTTTTTTTTTTTTTTTTTTACAAAAGCAAACAATGCTGGCATAAATTAGAGAGCATGCTGGCATTCCAGAAGCAAAAGACTCATGACATGTAACACAACAGCATTGGTGTTTAGTGTGACATTAAACATGCACTTTCAATACAATAACAATAGCATAACATGGCAGTAACAATAATATACTGTCCCTGTTGAAGGCAGTTGATCTTGCTAGAAGGGTAAAGAGCTCCCGGGCCTCATTGTTTTCCCATTTAGCCGACATTTTCAGTTGCTTTTCTAGTTCTTTGAGTTAGCTGCTCACTGCTATCAGCTGCCCTTCAAATCTCCCAGTGGTCCCTTACTTCCGGCTTACAATTTTTACAAAGACATCTATTGGGCGCTGTTATTACCTCCGCACCTCTTATACAGACTGTTGAGGCAGAATAACAGCACAACATTCCTGCTTTGAACAGGCAGTGTAAAAGGGGCTATAGTTGTGAGATTGGATGGCCTTCTAATGATTGAAGGTGGATGTAACTTTGGCTGTTCTTGAACATAGATTTGTGTGAACATTTTCTACATTATGCCATGTTGAATAAACAGAATTCAAGGTATTAACAAAAGGAAAGACCTCCAATATCCCTGCAAGAAAGCATCTACAATGTTACTACAGTCAAACTACCACCTCAAACAAATGTGCTTGGAGTTTTGTCCAATCAGATCGCAGCTGATTTGTAAACAGCCTCACAGAGCCAATTAAGAACTCTGCTAATTTACCTACCCTGTGTCCCACCCACATTAGTTAATCCTTTACTCCTTGTATTTGAGACCACTTCAACAAGCACTAATCATACTTATTTGGGTAAAAGTAATATTGTACATCTCCTGAGATTATTGGGCTACTCAGCTACTTTTTGGGAGTTGTTGATGACTGCTAAAATGCAGCAGTTTTTAATACCTCATGGCTTACAGACAGTTACATAAGTCAAGTTACTTAAAAATGCCATCATCCTTCTTAGTACCAGACACTTAATAGCCATGCATATGCACTTGACAGAAGTGCTGTTTTGGGAAATTAGTGCTTATGGAAATGCATGCAGAAAAACCTCTATTACTGTCCAGGATGGATCATTATCAGGACACAGAGCTTAGGGCTGCTAACTGTGAATATGCTCTGTAGTTAAGTGGCATAACCTTATAGCACTTGTGGATCGGAGGGCATTAATGAAAATTCACACTGTTGACTCTGCCACCGGAGGCAATGGTGTGTGACAGTTGTGTACTGCAGTTAATTTTCTGTGTATGTAAACAAAGCCAATGTCCTCCTACTAATGTACCCCAACTAATTTATCTCTCTCTCTTTCTTCTCTCACCCTGCAGGCACTTCCTCTTTAAGACAGGTACAGGCACCACCCCCCTCTTCTCCACGGCAACTCCTGGCTACACTATGGCAACAGGCTCAGTGTACTCCCCACCCACCAGGCCGTTGCCGAGGAATACCCTGTCCCGCTCTGCCTTCAAGTTCAAGAAATCCTCCAAGTACTGCTCATGGAGGTGAGATTGCACGAACAGGAAGAAACCAAATGCATGTTGTACACTGCTCGATTTTTGCTATCAGTAAAATACAAACCAGGTTCATACACAAACCATTGTGTGGCTGAGATGGGATGGTTTTCTTGGACTCATTCTGACTGTTGGTTAAAAAAAAATGCACATATGACAACACAAGCATAATCAGTAGTGGTTGGAAGGAGTTGTCAGTGGAAGTGGTGCTGGTCTTTTCTTCTGTGCTATTCCATTGGGTATACATTAGAATTTTTTGACAAATAACAATGGCTAGGACAGTAGCCTACTTTCCAGTCACAAAGGGAGTTAAAATAAATTGCTGCCAGATTTGACAAAGTTTTCAAGTCGAGCACTGGCAATTTGGGCTTTATTCAGTGTTAGTTCCTGGAATGGGACAAGACTGCTTCGGATGATTCTTGCACATCAGTGATCGGGTGTCTGGCATAACTGTGTCAACCCAACAATCTAGATTTTGGCCAATATTAGACCAAGACATTTTGGCTACCTCAGTGTATGCTTCAGATGCCACTATGTAGCTACAGTTAGGAAAAAAAACATACATGCAACATCAGAGTAAACAGAAGGCTCTTCTTTGGCTGTGTTGTTCACAAAATTAAACAGTGAAAGGGTTCCTGATAATGAATAACGGTATACAATCTGAATAAGCTTTCTAGAAGCTTGTCAGCAGATGGGTATTTCTCAGAGGTTAGTGCCTCTAAGGCCAGGTCCACATATACATCAGTATTTCCTGAAAATTTGTAGCTCCTTCCATATGTTTTGGCCTTTCGTCCACATGCAAACTGTGTCTTAGGTCACTGAAAACTGACCTTTTATAAAACTCCTTCCAGGGTGAAGATTTTCAGGAATCTTTGTTTGCAGTGTTGACATGTAGAAGGAAGGAAACAACAGGGTTCTTGGCTTGTGACACCAGACTGTGAATCACTGCCTCCTTTGTGTGCCCTCAAAAATGTTAGTTTTTCCTGCTTTGGCTTTTCAACCATGGTCAGAAAGCACAAGACTACCCGCAGGGAAGACACTTTGTTTTGGTCCCTGGGGCCAGAGTCGATAGTTGCTCCCGAGATAACCTCCATCACTCCAGTTAGCACCCGGGAAACAAAACACAGTAAACTGCTGTTGGTTTTGAGCAGCCTCAGCATACACTGTATTTGTGCACAAACTGCAGACTCCCCTGTACATCCACTGCTACTTGATCATCCACCACTAAAACTCTCTTCTCTGCTCTGCTCGCTCCATACACTGCATTCCCTGTCACTCTGACACACAGTATGTTACGGTATTGGCTCTGCTATTGTCCAAATGAGCTATGCTGCTTTTACAACACTAATGAGGCAGCATTTTGTGAAGTGGTGGATGTGGCCAAAATGTGGCTGGTTCTAACCTTGCTTAAAGGACTACATGTTTACACACAAACATACAGTTACTCTTCTATTATATAGCAGGGCAGGGGTGTCAGAATGAACTACAGAGGTCACTGCTCCATGTAGCCTTACAATAATAGCTTTTTCAGGCTTCTGATTGGCCAACATCTTCCTCTTCTTTGTGTCGGTGGGTTATTTCATCACCTGTTGGTTTGACATGCTCTGACAGTGCTTCAGTTGGGGGATGTTGAGAACAAAGGAGGAAATAACCCCATTTTCAAAAATACCTATGTACGTGTGGACTGGGCCTAAATAGCATCCTGTCTGCTCTGACGAACTATTTCATCATAGAGAGTACAGAGAGAGGAACTTCAGATCCTCTTCTGCTAAGGCTTCACACAAATACACACAGTTAGGGGGGTATCCCTGAATGTGATAAGGATATGTTGCTTTGACAACATTGTGAAGTCTTTGCCATTAGTGCACAATGGGGAAAAAAGTCTTTGCCATTAGTGCACAATGGGGAAAAAAGAAACAGAATCCAGTACAGTATAGTTAGCCATTATCAGGATATTGTGGTACAGTATACAATGCATACATATTGGAGTATATGCACACATACTCAGTATTTCTTGTTCTGCATTTACATTCTCTCCTTTACAGATGACATTTAGATATATCATTCTTTTTAAGTGTGTCCTTCCTGTCTTGGCTCCAGTTTTCACACATCTTTCCTCTCTTTCTCTTACCTTTCCTTCACTCCTTGTTCTTATCTCTCATATCCTCCCCTGCCATCTCTCCAGCTCTATATCTCCTCCTTCAATTTCAAGAAGCCAGAAGCCATTGCGAAGTGTACTGCATGACTCGATGTTATTGCTGAACATTTAATGGCATCCCAGCCTCCAGTGATTTTCGAAATTTCACAAGTCACTCTCAGAAAATGACACCTCTAGTCACTCTGCTGTAATTTGGTGAGAAGACAAACTCGATCATACTGCCAGGGTTTTGAACGGTATAGAATCACATAGGAAAGCAGCAGGCTATGTAACCTAGGTAATCAAATGTCCTCGATTGTGGAAAGTTTGTATTTTCAGTCTAAATGCTGTTATGAGACTTTTTCTTCATGGAAACACAGCTCTGGGTTTAACTTAAAGTAGTTTGATATGGCATTAAAAGGTTAAATCAGCATTGCTTTAGCCTTAGCAGTCCAGGCCAACTCTATGGTGAAGAGTGGAAACGAGACACTATTGTAATGCTGCATGAACAAGTACTTTATTTCTCTTCTGTGGCAGCTAACATAAGACACGGCCTTGCTACAAGTATTATGCAGCGCCCTGAGTTTTATGGCTGACTACAGTAACTTAATCATCCTTAACACCATGCACTTCACTGCAGCTGTACGGCTACCTCCTGCCACTTCTCACACACACCAGAGACTCCCAAGAAAGAGTTCCCACAACAACCCTGCTCGACAATGTCACATGTGACATCAAAGACAGTATGAAGGTTTGAGTAACATTTAACAGTTGACTGAATCTTGGCAGTAACTGCAGCCATTAAAGCAGCAGCCAATTGCCAGCCAGCTGCCATCTAATTGGTTGTGAGCTTTGCTAGCTTTCCGACAAGAGCATCCAGGGATTTTTTTCTGTGTGTGACATCTCGAGAAATGAGCAATTCCCGCAGCAGCAAAAGAGCAGTTGACTTGTAATTGTTTGTCCAGTCTATCATTGTATGTTTCTGCTTTAACATCATTGTAAGACTGGAAAGTTTTTGGCTAATAGTAATAGTGTGTTAGCTGAATTATTTTGTGTGCCTTCACTTTTGTGCAGTGTGACAATGCTATGTGCAAACGTCCATAACTCCAATGTCAGCACACTAAAGCTGCAGTCAGGCAGACCACAGTTGTGTGTGTGTGTAGTTTTGGCATGTTGCTGGAGAGAATCATGGGATGAGGGCTTGGGTTGCTAGGATGTAGCATGTGCAGTGACATCAGGAGAATGGTCAGAAATTGGTTGAAAAAAATATTTTCTCCACTGAAACATTAGTTTCATTTTGCACAGGAGACTTTTAAGACTAAATACCACGGCACTGATGGTAAAATGACTCATTAAAAGGGCCATCGTGCAAACACCATAGTCATTTGCAAATAGAGTGTATTGCGGAGGCTGATCATACATCAAGAATGCAACAATGTTGAGACTGCAATAATAAATCTAGAGGATGTTTTTTGTATTGTGAAGGTTATTTCGGGTCAAAGCAATACTGATGGTGAAAGCAACTCAACAACAATCTTCTGTTTGTTTGTTTATTTCAGGTGTACAGCCCTCAGTGCAGTAGGACTATCTGTACTGCTCTCTGTCCTGCTCTGTTATTGCATAGGTAAGACCACACACACCTTTTCTATGTTTTTATTTATCTCTCTTGCGCACACACACACACACACACACACACACACACACACACACAAATCCGTGCTGTGAATACATGTACCCACATTTTTCTGAAGGGTTAGTTTAGCCCAGGTGCAGGATGACAAACAAGACTTTTATTTCTGCTTTGTTCATTGTTAATCCCACCTCATCTCTCTTCCAATCTTGTCCAGCTTCCTTCCCTCTCTGGCTCTTTCTGTATCAGCCGTTCTTGTACTCTTGTTGCTGCATGCGTTAGTTTTCACTCTGTGGTATGAGCCCATCAGATAACCAGACTGCCAGGATTTTCCTTTCTCCAGGCCTTATTCGTCCCTCTCTCCCCCGCCCTCGCCACTATGTTCCAGGATGTGCTATAGGTGATGTGTAGGATAATATGTCGTGCAGATTTTACGGTAAATTATAGCTGGAATACTCTTTGGAAACATGGTTTTAATAATACAGTAAGCCATGTTGTACTCTTGGCAAGCTGTGCTATCAGATTTTCAACATCACTCCATCAGAATCAAGAAAATGGGTCACATGATCATTTTTTTTCCATTACACTTCTTTTTTATGTAACAATAAAATATCGATTTAGGAACTCAAGTCGTTTTCTTCATAAGAAGAAACCTGCATAATAGTGATGACAGACAAATATGTAGTTCATCAAATTGTAGGAATGCTTTGTGCACTTTACTCCCAGGGTGCTGATGAAAGGCAGGAATCTTCTTAGAGTAATAACTCAAAGAGTTCATTGTCAGGTTTATTTAGTTTTAGATGAACCTGACAAAGCCGGTGATGAAATGTGTTATTTTAACACAAGACAGAAGGACATAGATTCTGTAGCATTTCTCACAGATTTTTTTCCAGGCATTAGTCTGTGTGCAAAACACCCCCTTAAAAATGCAATTTTAATACACCCATAATTACCTTAGTCTCTTTCGTGACTAAATGTTATATCTATAACACAGTTTTAATGTTTAAATTGTCCTGTAACAGCCTTTGCATAAGTAAGGTAACCCTTCCCCTCACTGTGATTTTGATCCACCCAAGGCAGTAAGGATACAATTACGTTGGACCCAAAATTAACTGTGGGTCAGTGGAAATCTACATCATCTTACAATGTTAATATTTGGCTTAATTACAAATGTTGGCAACTCTGAAAAATTACCCTTAAAACCACTGAGTAGACTGAGACTGTGTTGCTCTACTTTATTAAGTGAGAAATGCTACATCAGATTTCCGAATTGATTTAATAAAATATATCATTTTTTAATTCGATGGTTGTGTTGCAGACGTTACTTTTGTGATAGACTTGAATGTGAAGTCATCCAGACTTATTCTAAGAGTGTGCCACTGAAGTCATTAATTTCCTCAACCTTGCTGGACTCACTGGAGGCGTCTGGCTAACAGCTTATACCAACAGGCGTCTGCATTTGCATAAAAGTAGTGACCCATGGGGAGCATCCCGCTCTTTCAGAGGCTGACGAGAACACAATTTGGAATATGCATTATATCTGGGCACTTAAATTTAACAGCTTTTACATTGGTTGTGAAAATTTGAATTTGAAACTTGAGAAGCCACCCAACATATTTTGTAAGAGCAGGCTTCAGTCCAGAAAGAAAAAACTAATTAGTATTAGCCTTTAAAATCCCAATGGAGGCATCGCATTTACAGCTGTAGTCACGAAAAATACTTCAGTGCTTTCTCTTCCTTCCTACAATGCTTTAGAACTGTAAGGGCAGTTTGCTCCCCGTTAGATTGTGTGCGAGTGATATTCTTCTTAAAAAGCCTTGAGAGAAAGAGAGAGGGAGGGAATGATAGAAAAAAGAGTCAGAGGGGAGGAAGAGTGGTATTTTTTCTAAAGGTCAACGATTCCCACAATGAACAGAAGCAATTATGATTGGAGCTCAGGTGGTCCTTGGACTTGGAGATCTCTTGCCACAGGCTAGTCCACGTGTGTGTGTGAGGGGGTAAATTCGTTGTTACATGCTCGAGTATTTGTGTGCACGTGTGTGTGCTTGTATCATGGGCTCCCTCATGTAGCATTGTTAGAAAGATGTTTTTTTCATTCAAAGCATCTGTTTAAAGTTGACACACACACAGACGAATCTGTCTCACTTAAATGGAAGAACACACACACACACACACACACACACACACACACAGCAAAAATCTACATGGCTATTCACATACAAGAGATCCACAAGAGCACATGAACATATAAACACACATATGCAAGCACATGCACACTGAGAAACATATACACAGGGGTGCAGAGGCACATGTGTTTTGTATTTCTGTACGGTCTGTTACAGAGTATCAAGAGTGGGGAGAGGACATATACTGTATTAAATGCCCTACACCACAAAGGAAGAAGTCCCTAATGAAAGCACGTACTCCAGTTTAAATCTGGTGCATTGGAAGGGTTTTTAAAAAGACGTTGGGTTTTTTTCTTGTGCCTAAGAACTGATGAATAATAAAAAATGTGGTACAGTATCGTGTGAAGACAGCAGACCAAGAGATAACGTTGAAGTTTTTCCCAATTGTTTAAAGACGTTTCCTAAAACTATAGCTCAGTTTCTCAAAAGTCTGAACACAAAGCTGAGGAGAGGAAACCATTTTGTGAAAACACCAAAAATCTATTGCAGAATGAAACTAAACACTGCACTCAAAACCATGTTATCTTGAATCAGAAACTGAATCTTTCCACCAAAACAGTACACACAGCTGTCATATAAAGATCTTCACATTACACGATTTTCACCCTGATTTTGCTCCGCGGAGACTATTTTTGATCTTTTGAGTGTTCATACCTGCCGACATGTGTTTCTTTCATCGGGAGTCTCGCCAGCTGCGTTACGACCTGTGTGTGCACACCACAAAATTTCTCCACCGAGCCCTCGCCGACAGAGCCCCAAATAATGCGGTGACGTCAACAAACTACGTATTTTAACTTGGAGACGACACATCATAAAGGCATGGAAATTCTTCCAAATGTTGAATCAGATCTGCCTCCAGGGTCTGGGTCTTTACGTTTTCAGAATTATGTGCATACTGATAGTTTCATTTTGCAAAGGAAGAAAAAAGTTATATCTGTCTTACGTGACTATTTAAAACTGTGTGTGAGCTTTAGCCTTTCTTTTATTGTGTATGCACTCTATTTAGATTTGAGGTGCATGCTGTTGTATTGCAGTGGAAATAAATCCTCTCTAGTCTGATTCTTGATTTGGCTTTAATGGAAAAATTAGTGTGGTTTCTTTTTATAACAAGCCAACATTTAAAATTAGCAGCTCATTTACACATTGACGTGAATGTCTGAAACGAGCTTTAGAAATGTTTCTGAGACAAGTTTTGCATTTTTGCAAATGTCTGACAGCTCTATGGCTGAGCTGATGCTCTGACCGTCCCTCCTGGCTCCTCTCCCAAAGTCTGTCAGATCACGTTCTAAGCCCATTAATTAATTAATAAATAGCTCACATGCAAAACACGTTGAAATGGACTAGATGCTGCATGCATGCACCGGTAGTTACACATATGCAAATATGAAGGGATGATCCAGAGTTGCTGTTTTTTTTTTCTAGTCACTGAGTTTATATGCTAACTGGCAACATTGTGTTAACAAAGACACACACATACACACATAAAACCTCCCTCTGTGACTAATTGAGCCACGGTGAGCCCCATAAAACAAGGCCCTGCATCGAGCAAATACTCAGCAGCTACGAGACCTGTTATGCCCCTATTCAGTAAACCCATTACAATGAATGTGCCTTTGTGACTCCCACTGGGGTGTGCTGATTTTTAATGATTTTGTAAAATTCATTCATTCAAGTCTTTTTCGGTTCAGTACTTTAACAAAAATATGATTTTTTTCTTCGCCCACACTTCTCTGAAACCAGTTCATCTAATTATTCCCATCAGTGTGAGTCAGGATATACCGCTTCATTTTAATCATTCCAGGAATTAGCTTATACCTCCTTCATTTGCAACATTTGCATACAGGCCTAAGCTATATTGCCATGGGTCTAGTATCATTTTGGGAGCTACAGTGTAATGATTTGAAATAATTAGCAGATGTTGATTCTAATCTCTTATGAATCCGCCATGTCAGTAGTTTGTAAAATTACAAGGACACGTGTCAGAAATGCAAAGCACCTCTGTCACGTAGGACTCCTGCTGTTCAGCATGTGTGTCCAAAACATAGCTCAAAGGCATAGAGATGGGCTGAATATTGGTACGGCTCAGATGAATGTTGATATAGCAATTAAATTTGACCTGTGCTTTATGCAAGTGGTTCTTGATATCACAGTAGAACTATATCTTCAATTCTTATTTGTCATAGATGTCAACTATAATTTAATTGTAATTCTACAAAAACTAGTACATCATGGTAAATGAGCTTTTCAAGTAAATCTACTTATATAAAGGCTCAGTTTTTTTATTGTTCTGTGGTCTTTAGTTTACTCTTAAAGAAAGGACATTCTTTGCTGTATGGCTATGCCTCCTGTATTATATCATCTCACCTGTGCACACAAACAGCATCATAATCAGGGAAATATTTTGATATTTAAATAGTGATGTCACTCATTTTAGGGTCAGCTGATATGTTCAAGGAAGTTATATACATATTGCAGATAATTAAAGTTAGCAGTTTGGAGAGCTTTACAGCCCATTGTCTGCTGTCTCATAACACAATAAGTTTATCCATCAGACAATTAGATTGGGCAATCAGATTATCAAATGAGATCAGTGAATAATGCATATTCTGTAAAAATATTAGAAATGTTCATATATATTTAAATCAGGAGAGACTCAGATTTTTATAGTTAAAAGAATATTTATTAACATGTGCACATAAGAATGAAAATGTGGAAAGTCTTTAGCGATCACACCCCATAGAGATGGTATGATTTCAGGAGGGTGATAAATCCATAGTCGAATAGGGAACCCCCCCAGGATCTAGATGG